GCCAGTGACCTGCACAGAGGACAAAGGCAAGTAACAGCTCTCCTGGCTCCTGGCAAAGGGAAAGCAGAGCGGCGATGGGGCAGGAATGCAGGCCAGGAGACAGGAGAGGAGATGAGATGTGGCAGCGCTGTAGGTGAGTAAAGTGTAATTGTTAAATAATTTACAAAAGAAGGGTTTCACCGCTCTGCAACTAGGAAAGGGGGTTACACAAAGTGTACGGTAACACCTAACAAAAACTGGAAACATTCATTCCCTGAAGTAGTTGTGATCAAATCCAGGATCAGTGACAAACACTGAATTATTAAAACCTTGAGAGAAAGTGGTACGAGGACAGCATCAGCATGTGATTCTCTACCATCTAGGTCCAACAGAGAAGAACTTCGCTTAAAAGAACTAGCCTAATGTTTGAACGTGGCAGCGTTTTCACGTGTGTGAATCCAGTGACAAAGTTCAGTGACCGCTGTTTTCAAAAGGGTGCCCGTTCTCAGAGATGTCAGCTGTTGTACAGAAAACTCCGACACCAAACTTTATTAGGACTTCTTACGAGTGGTCTGCAACCTCCCAAAACTATCGTACTGACCACTTGTTAAACCTGACCGTGAGCTCAAATCCAGAATCTATTTTCGTTTATGTGCATCTCTGATTCTGAAAAATTGGGACATTTTCTACAGTGTAAATTAAATAGAACACAATGATTGTCAACCCATGTTTTACTCATAGTGACACATGGTAAACATATCATGAAGTTGTACAATATCTTTGAAACCAGGTATTTTGAACTTTGTTGGCAGCAGCACATCTCAAAAGTTGGGACAGGGCCACCATGAAGCATCCCCTCGTCTTTTCCTAACAGTCTGTCAAGTCAAGTCAACTCTATTTATAAAGCACATTTAAAACATCAGCTGTTACCAAAAAGCTTAACAGTAAAATCAATCTGAATAATTTCTTCAAAAAAGTAATGATAAAAATAATGATGCTACAGAAAATTAATTACAAGCTTAAAAAGAAAAACATAGAAACACAGAGCAATAAAATACTTAATCAAGTCACACTGTGTAAAAAGCCAGAGGAAACTGATGTGTTTTTAGCATAGATTTAAAAACAGGAAGTGAAGTGGCCAGCCTGATGTTGAGAGGTAGATTGTTCCAAAGTTTGGGACCCATAACCGAAAAAGCCCGATCACCAATGAGCTTCATGTCATCAAGACATTTTAACAGAGAGTGAATGGAGCAAGAACTATTAGGTTGTAAGTGCAGATAAATCTGGTAGTCATCACCATAACAATGAAATAAAAGACCAGGTTTCCTCCAAAGGGAGCAGATGGAATGAAAACAGAAGGGATCCAAGAATCGAGCCCTGTGGGATCCCACAGGAAAGAGGCACTGATGCAGATACTCTATTTCCAACCTTAACACAGAAACTTGGGGCTGTAAATGGCTAAAAACTGAAGAGATCAGCAGCTGTAGTTTTTTTTTTTTGGCAGAATGTTGTCCCATTCTGATCTTAAGAAGGATGCTAGCTGTTCAACAGTCACTGATCATGTTTGCTGGATTTTTCTTTCATGATATACCAAATGTTTTAATCTGGACTACAAGTAGACCAGTTTAGTATCTGAACTCTTCTCCTATGAAGGCATCCTGTTTCCTGTTAGCTGACGGGAGCCTGGGTGCTCTTCTGCTGCTGTAGTCCATCTGCTTCAAGGTTCAACGTGTTGTCTTCAGACGTGGTTTTCTTTAACATGTGGTTATTTCAGCTACCGTTGGCTTTCAGTCCGCCCATTCTCATTTGACATCAGCAAGGCCTTTAGTCCAGATAACTGCCTCTCACATGGATAGTTTTTCATTTTTGGACCATTCTCTGGAAACCCTAAAGAAGGTTGTCTCTGCAAACTTTCTGAACTTGCTGAGTGTTTCCTGAGATGTTTTGCTAACAGACCAACAGGGTTGACTTCAACAGTTTAAAGCATAAATGTTGAGCGATGTATCATGCTTGGAGTAAGTGTTAGTGATGCTCAGCTGAAACATTTTAATTTAATAATCTGAGTTCAGAGTCAGAATAAGCTTTATTATCATTGCACCAAGATGCAGCAAGAGGGGGGTTGCGATAGACAAAGCTTTTCCTTAGCTTACACATTTCCCAGGAGAAATTGATATGTCGGCCTGTTTTCGAGGCCAACCGGGGGAGTCAGATTCAGATAAGCCACAATTGTTGATTTTTTTTTTTTCAGGCAGACTATTTTTCTCGTCAGCCTTGAGTCTTACTGGTACTTTCAAGATCCGAAATGGCCAGATTAGGGTGCATTCTACTGGTCCGTGCTTACAAGCCCCTCCACGGTTGTTTCATGCTGGCGAGTCCCAAAGCCTCACAAATCACTTCCATCTTACGGTTTAGCTCGTAAATCAGCTGATTTTGAGTCCTCAAAGCACAAACCAAACCTTCACAAGGCAGGCAGCCTGACGAGGACCGAACTAGCTGCAGCTGTCTTCTTTGTATGTTGATAGACCAGGAACTCATAAATCCAGTTGTATACGTCTTCGGCGTCCTCCTGAGATTCTCAGCGGAACATGACAGCTCTCCAGGACCCTGTCGATCTGTTGAAAAGAGTTATCTTGCTTGTTGAGTTTGATTAGTTTTTCAGTGAGTACTTTTTGAAAGTTTCATTAAAATCCATCCGGTGGTTTTTAACTGGTTTAACAGCTCATTACAAAAATGTTGCGTTGTAAAAGGTGCAAACTACATTTGTCATAAAAAAAGACAATTATTCCTCTGCTCGGAGTGTTTAAGGATTATTGTACAGATTCAAGCACATTAGGAGAGAAGTCCAGCAGGTGTGTAAAGATTGTGAATTCTTCTAATTGGTTTCTACTTCAGATTAAGCTTTTTCTTTCTTGATTTTCCTCCTAATTGTATATTTTTTTAACACAGTCAGACAGTATTTCCATCTCCTTCCTCTTCCAGGGAGCACAACCCGGTTCTCGTCTCTGCAGATGAAAATGCGAGGCTGGCACACCCACACAGCTCCAAGCAAACGGAGTCTTTTCACAGCCAATCCTCGCCGAGATTACATCTTTTTAAAAATTATTCTTATTGCTTTCCGTTGCGCGGAAAGATATGAGCACGTGTGCGGAAACTCCACAAACAAGTCGCACACGGTGGTGCAGTGTTTGAACCCGCTCAGAGCGTCAGCAGGCGATTAGCCCTTGTAGCTGCAGCAGCCAACCTATCTGACAGCGCCATGACACCTTCCTGTTTGGAGTGATGGTGTCGATCTTCCCAGCTGCTCATTTCGACTCAGTCGGGGTTAAACAACGTCTGAGGGAGAGGAGCACATTTCAGGTGTTCAAACCTCACCTGACCCGTTTTTTCCCCAAGTAACTTATTATCTGAAGGGGAAGCTGGATGATAATGTTTTTGCCTGCTTGTCTGCCATTAATAAATTATGTCAATGAAACTTTCCGGTAATCACCGGCTGTCCATCTACAACTGATTACTTAATGTTGATTAAAGATGGCCGCCCATGCAAAGTGATTTAGCAACATAGCTTTAATGTAGCCACTTTTACAAACGCGGGTAAAATTGTATGCAGTGTCAACTCCGACTGATTTGTGTTGGCAAAATTAGTTTAAAACTTTGCCACATTGTAATTAACGGAATCTGTCTGTTAGCAAAATATATTATCAACCACTGGGCGGATTATAATGAAACTTCTGGAAAGCAATCCTTGGATATACAGCTAAAGCTCAAAAAGGTTTGGAGTCAATCCAGTTCAAGATGGCCGCCACAGTTTATGAAACTTATCAAACACAAAAAATGGCTATAACGCAGTGAGATTTCCAAACGCTGAGCTGTATTTTGATGTGGTAGCTGAGATTCATCCACATCACGTGGAAGGTGGTGGGCGTATGCATTCCTTTAAAGACCTTTGATTTTTGTTTGCATTTGTAGAAACCTTAAGCATGATCGAATCAAAGTTATAATGTTGCATCATTTTAATCTATGCATGGATGAGGTGCAAAAAAAAAAAAAAGGCCTGGAAGCTGCACCTTGTGCGTGCTGATCACCTGCAGCCCACGCGCAGCTCACTTTTATTATGAGGACATTGTTCCAGCAGCGCTGCTGTTTTGCTTTTAGAGCTGGAGGGAATTATTTGGAGAAGTCGTGACGTCACGTGGAGCTCCGCAGAAGGGAGGGGGAAAAGTCTCATTTAAGACACAGAAAGAGAGAGAAGTGGAGAACTGCTGACATCAGAGCCCGCCTCTGTCTCCGGATCTGTGGATGTGGATGAACAAAACGTCTGCGGAGTCGGAGGATGCTGAAGAAAAACTATTTGGGTGGAAATGTTTTTAAACGATGGAGAGATTCTTGTGAGACTTCCATCTGAGTGGATCCAGCGCGCGGGAGGAGGGAGGAGGGGGTGAGCTCTGAGAGAGGGAGCGCAACAGAAAAGAGAGGGGAGGGGAGGAAAGGATGGAGATAGATGGATAGAGAGAGAGGGAGGAGAGAGGGAGAGGCTGAGCCTGCTGGCAGTGTGTGTCTGAGCCTCAGCAGCGGGGGGAGATGTGCGTAACGCGCAGCGCGGAGCGGTGATCAGCAGCCGTGGAGCCGCCGCGCGCACAGCCGGACCGACACTTCTCTCGTCCCGTTCCGAGCCCTGAGCCCCCCCAGAGAGAATAAGGAGGAGGAATTCCGGATGCCACTGTCTGAGGCGGTGACTGGGGGTTCAAATCCCCTCCGTTTGGAGCCACTTTGACGCACCGGCGGCGACACGAGCGCGCGCAGATGTCTGTTTTTCCTCTGCTCCTCTCTTTTGGAAACTCGGCCCTCGTCCTGCGCACCTGAACCTGGAGGTTGTTTATTTATTGTTTTTTTTATTTTTTTCCTGCACGATGACAGCTGACTTCTACAACCAGCTGGGGGTGAATCAGCGCGTGTCCGTGTGCTGAGCTGCACGGCCGCGTGTTGCTCCTACACACACGCACAGACACGCACACCACGCCAGGATGCAGCTGCTAAGAGTCGCGTGGGCTCTGACCGGAGCGGCGATCTGCTGCTTCCTCATCCTCCTCATCCACTCCCGCCTGCTCAAAGAAGGTAACAACCCCCCCCCCCCCCCCCCGTGTGTGTTGGGGTGTGTGTGTAAATGCGCCACCGCTTTTATCAGCCGCTGCAGCATCTAACCAGAGAGGCCCCAGAACTCACCTGCAAGTAACCGACAGGTTCATGTGGGCCAACCTGAAGGGCGGACCGTGCAGCAGCTTTGTGTTTGTCTTGTGTTGCTGTTTTCAATAGATGGCACTAGAGCCTAGCTGTAGGGTAACACTGAGGTCACGCAGTTGCAACGTGGCCCCTCACCTCCTGCTCGTGTTCTGTGTTTGTTTCAGTCCTGATCCTCACCCAGACCCTCCAGGACCAGACTCGCTCCCTCCCTCATCCGGCAGACATGGCTGCACTGACTGTGCAGCTTATCAGCACCTTTGTTAATTTTACTTATTTTGATACGGGGGTCATAATTAATGGAGTGTCATTTGCTGACATTCTGCTGTGAATGGTGTGAGGTTTTAATGAGTCATAGCTTGACTGATGGTTCTGAGGAGCAGATTTGTCCCCCACCCCCACCCCCCTACAACCAGTCATTAATTCCACCTCCAATGCAGCGAGGTAAATACAAATCACATCTGTCTGTGGGGAGTTCATGCAGAAGCTGAGCGCACTTACAGCTCAGAACTCCTGATGGAAGCCAAATGGTGCTGTGACATTAATAGTAATAATAATAATAATAATAATAAAAGAAACTGCTTTTAATAGTCCTTTGATAGATTCATCCCTGGGGCGAGTCTTGTCTTAGAGACGTGTTTCTTTTGTGGAGATTTTGAAAACGTGCCTTGCCTCTGGTTCTGGGCAAACATTGAGGTCAAACACTTCATGGAATCAAAGTTCATGCTCAGTCATCCTGGTACAAAATCCACTAATGGTCAATCAGGTCATCTGGATGGTTTATTTTTTGTGGAAAGACGTTTCGCCCTCTATCCGGAGGGCTTCATCAGTCTCAAGTCAACTGTTTTCCCCACTAAGCAGTGCACTCCTTTAGTGGAGCAACCAGTTTGCTGGTGATAAGATGGTTTCTGGGGGCTGTCCTGTCCCCCATCAACTCCTCCCAGGCAGGCAACAGCATCCAAAGTGGTTCAAGACATCAAAGTTCATGCACAATCATCCAGGTACAAAATCCAATAATGGTCAATCAGGTCATTTGGATCTGGACTTCAAGAAATGTTTGGCCAAACAAAGAGGTTGACTAGTTTAGTCACAGTTTGGGGCAGCTGTGACTGAGTGGTTAGAGCAGTTGTTCTCCAGTGGGAGAGTTGGGGGTTTGATTCCACCAGCAGTCACATGTCAAAGTGTCCCTGGGCAAGACACTGAACCTCTCATTGCCTCCGATGTGTGACCCATTGGTGTAGGAATGTGATCTAAAGCTCTGATTAGTCTTTGCATAGATCTAGAGTGCTGTATGAATGACACAGATTGTGTTGTAAAGTGTTTTGAGTATCTTGATAAGATACAATACAAGTACAATAAAGTACTGTAAAGTACAGTCTATTTACAATTTGACTGAGTTTGTCAACGGCTGCTTTACAACACAGTTTTTTTTTATGCCACTATTTCTGATGCATGCTCAATAATCCAGGTAGATAAATCCTCTGGACGTGTTCTTATTCGCTGAAAAGTTTAGTCTTTTATCCAAAGGACTTCTTCAGTCCGATGAGCCGCAGTAAACAGTCCTAGAAGCAGCACCTTCTCATGGTGGATCAACCAGTTTGCTGGTGACGGTCAGATGTATCTGGAGGACCATCAGCCCAATGACGGATCGTTGGGCTTTTTTGGATAAAAGACGAAACGTTTCAACAAAGAAAAATCCATCCAGAGGACCTGACTCAACCTGTATTGTTTTCTGTTTACCAAGAATAGAATAAATTTTCCTAAATAAACAATGTTTAACAAGTAGATTACTTGGACACTGTAGGAGTCCAACCAGAGTTCAGTAAACGTTTTTTTGGACCGGTCATCTTAAAGCAAGACAGACTTTGCTCGGTTGTGAAAATGGAAACAAACGTATGTTATATATTATTTTATAAGTCTGAACTTTTGTTTGGCTAGTCGTTAGCTCAGCCTGGACTAAAATATGTGCCTCTTTCTCTGTACTCTGAGTGATGTCACGGCAGAAATGAATTATTTGTCCGATGAACTGGTCCACCTCCACCGACCAAAACAAAATGATCAGTTTTAACAAGAAACAAGAAGCTATTAAAGGTTGTTTTTTTTTCTGCCTGAACCGCAGAGGTCAAAAAAAGGATTCTATGTCCACATTACAGAACAAAAAAGTGCTGCCTATTGCTTTATTATCGTGAGGAGCTCTCATTAGATTCAGGCCATCAGCATTGTTGAGCTTGTTGACTGGCAAGGCAATATTTTTGACCTTGGCTGTTGAGTTGTTTGTCCGTATCATGTTGTGCTTTTACCCTTAAGCCTGCATTTTTTTCTGCTTTCTAACTTGACATCAAATAGCTTTCAACTTTGGGGCTGGAAAAAAAAAAAGAAAAAAAAAAGAGTTGAACGTCGCTGTGGTTTCCAGCGTTGAAATTTGTTATAGAGATGGCGATGAGTCACACAAAGGAAGACTGAGAATATGCTCACGTTAGACTGCGAGGATGAGCAAGGTCAAAGCTGGCTGTGAGGCCTAATAATGCGAACTGATAACGCGAATTCAAAGGACTGCATTAGTGACGGTCTTTTGGGGATGAGGATAATGAAGGGGCTAAAGAATGGACCCCCCCCCTTTTTCAGGCTTTTCTCACATGCGCTTTCATGGAGGAGATCTCAATTGTCCAACGCTACCGTCTCCTTTGTGAACAGGAACAAACAGAGGAGAAATGTATTTTTACTTTCTTCTCTGCTGTGTCACACATTGATCGCCCCTGCTGTGGTTTCATGCATGTGTGCATACAGATGTGCATGTGGGTGGCGTGTTATCTGAATGTAGCCTGTCAACAGCAGAGGTATTTTCACACCAGTGAAGGTGGGAGTACCAGCGGGCTGTAGATCTGTGGTTGTGATTCTGGTGATGGGGAAGAAACAAAATAGCTCAGTGGCAGGTGGTTCCGATAACCCAACGTGCCAGTAGCGCAAGTGTCTTTTCCATGAGTGGGGGGGGTTCTATGCTTCTTTATGTCTGCATTCTTGCATAATGTGACACAGGAATCCCGAGAGGGTGGCTGGTGATTGGAAATGTCTTGAAACGATATGCTGAATGTGAATGAACTTTGCGCCATAAATTTATCCCGATGTCCATTTCAATAATTCAAGCGATGGAGCAAATCCCATTTTGCTCTTCATTGGCCGAGAGATTTGTCACATGGTGATAAAAATCCTGACAGGTTCATGGAGTAGTTCCTCTTTCCAACTGAATGAAGGCTTGTCCAGGTAAAACCAAAGTATCAATCATTAAATGAGGCTCATTGGACTAGAATAATTGTGGCACCATTTGAGCTACATTTACAGCTAAAAAGAGCAGTGTTTAAAAGCACTGTAGCCTTTCTTAACGTGACACCAGTCGAGTAAAATTAGAACAAAATTAGCATCGGAAAAGGTTAAATGTTAAATTTTAATGAAATTGTACATGTGGAAGAAATGCGAATTCAAGAAAAATGTTTTTTTCAAATCAAGAGGAAACCTTAGGATCCAAAAATGTACAACCCTGATGAGTCATGTGACAATAGAGCTAAAATTATCTAGTAAACAAAAGTTTTTACTATCATAAATAAGCTATAAATGATATTTTAAGTGGTTTCTTTGATAAATTTGAGGTCCAATGTATTTGTGTGATGTAATGGCTGTTGCATTTGGGATAATTTCACGAAAGGCTTGTTTTGACCTTTCACTATAGTCCAGTTTGGAAATGGTCAAGGACCACAGATGCTTCATATATGACCCAAAGGAGACACGTGTGGCCGTAGAATAAAAGCACACTTTTGTAACATTAGCCTGGTAGCTGAGATGGTGAAATTGTAAAACATATTGACTGTTGTTATTATACTCAATATCAATATTGTGAAAAATTTAAAAAACTGTAAACTACATGCCAATAACCATCTGGTCATAAGATTCATAAATTCATTCAACCTTTATTTATACAGGTTAATCCCACTGAGCCTCGGGGACTCATTTACAAGAGACCAGAGTGATGTCAACAGTAGACTATCATAAACGATGCATACAAATTGAGAATAACAAGTGAAAATAAAATGGTATTAAAAAAAATAAAAAAAACAACAAAAAAAAACAGCTAGGTTGTAAAGCGATAAGGTGATGTAGAGACTAAAACAGGAACATGTCTGCACTGGTTTTTCCCAGGAACTTAGAAGATGTTTGAAGCCACTTAGAGAGGTCAAGGTCGAGAGCTTCAGATCTTTTTGTAAGATATTCCAGGAAACAGGAGCGGAGTAGGAGAAGGCCCTTTTGCCAAGTTCAGTCCTCACTGCAGGTAATAATGTCCTGAGAGCGCACGCTGTAGCTGCACTCACGCAGAGACATGTAGGAGATGTATGAAGGCAGCAGACCAAGAAGTGATTTAAAGATGAAAATGTACCAGTGAGAGAGTCTGTGTGAAGTTAATGATGTCCAGTTAACCAGTGAGTACTGGGTGCAGTGGTGGGTACGATAATCACATGCAGTTATGAATCCTAGTGCACCGTGATAGACAGCATCCAACATCTGCAGGGTTCTTGTAGGAGCGTTCATGTAGTTAATGTCACCGTAGTGAATGGAGAGAAGGAAAGTCGCAGTTACAAGGCGTTTCCTAGCATTCAGCGTAAAACAAAATCTATTTCTGAAAACGAAACCCAGTTTAACTTTGATGGAGATGGACCTTAAATGTCCAGAGAACATTTAGTTAACTGTGGGCAAAATACTAAAAACCATGGAGAGTGTAGTAAATGTTATACTGACAAGAAAAAAAGGAAGCGGTACAACAGCCTGGAACGTATACATTACATAACTTATACTTACTTGATACTATCCCAGCAGGTACCCAGTTTTTA